TGGTCAGCCTGGCGTCCGAAAAAGTTGCGGCAGGTGGCCACATCCAAGCCACCCACCGGATCGCCGTACTTGCAGCGCCTCACCAGTCGAATTCGTAGAGTGAACCGGTCCGCTATTTCCGGCCCCAAAATTGAAACGGCGTTTCCAAACGTGTTTGAACGGTGTTCATCTAAGCAACATGGGGACCAATGGATTCTCTATTTATTTGGGGGGCCACGGCTTGAAACGGGGATCCGACTTGGCAGGTTGCTCTTCTCCTGGCGAAAAGCATGGATAGATTCGCACAGGCTGAGCCGCACTGAATTTGCGGCTCTCTAGGCATTATGGTTGGATTCACAATCAGCGTGTGGCAAGCACTGGATCACACTTGTTCCAGCACATCCGAGAACAGCACTTGAGTCCTTGAGAAACAGAGTTCACGACATCCTCTGAGAGCAAAATGCAGCCAGCACACGTCCCCCAAACCTCGCATACACGTCCACCAAAGGTAGGCGTCCAATAGCGCTTCGTTTCAATGGTTTCAAGTCAACATATCTTCAAAACACTGACTCCAAAGGTGCTGGCTGGTCTAGGCTTGCGCTTTTCACCATCAGCACCAGAACCTCCACTGTTCAGGTGGTTAGCCCTTGCGTCTTAGGTCTTCACTATCCCTTGCTAGGCCTTGGGTTTGGAATGCATGATACATCATAAAGCCCTACTACTAACATATATTAATATTCTTGGCCTTTGCTTTCCTTGAACAGAACTCTTCCGTTGAGCTGGGTTCGCCAGGGTGTGTGGATGTTCCAAGCAAGGCTGTTGACTTGAGAGGCCCACACTGGGACACAGTTCAGTACAACAGGTCACAACAGGTCATTGAGTTCAGCTGATTGACTTACCAGCAGACGACACGGATTTTTACTTATGGACAAACACTTGGAACATGTTTGGACTTTTGGGGGCTGGAATGCTGTTCGGTTCTGCTGGATAGCGCCTTTCGGAATTTTGACATTTATGTAATTTTATTTATTTGTACAAACATACAAATGTATCATAGTTTGCTCCGGTTGTATACGTAATGTGTGTGTACAAACAACTGCAAAAATGTACAAACGTACAAATGTATCAAACAACACATTCAAGGTATGTGCCCGAAGACTGCAGAATCAACTCAGAATCAGCAGAATGACTTGTAGATTCTATTGGTTGGTGAAGCAATGCATCCGTGACAGGAAATGAGAGGCAAAGGTGTCCAGAAAGATTGAGGAGGAAAGGCAATTTTTGGAACCACTCGCACAATCTTGTAAGCCCATGCTTTTTGAGGGACGTGTGTGTGCGTTTATTCACAAGATTGCTTGTGACTTTGAAGTAGCAACGGGGTGGGTTGTGGCAGCACACGCGAGGGATAATATGCAAGGGGATGGCGCCTCACTTGCGCACACAAGATTTAACTCACCTGCGCACACATCGATTACATTCTTCTTTGAACAGTGCATGTTACCTCCAACTCATCTGCGCACACAGACTTCGCTCACCTGCGCACACACAAATTGAGTCATGATGATCTCTTTTTTGCTCATTGTTTCCACAGTACCACGATGCTCTGCGTTTGATTGATGATGTTGGGTTGGGATGGGGGGGTGGGGGGGTGGGGGGGTGTTAATAACGTCCCTCTGGACATTCATCTGCATGATGATCTCTTTTTGCTCATTGCTTCCACAATACCACGTCGCACAGACGCTCTGCGTTTGATTGATGATGTTGGGCTGGGATGGGGGGGTGGGGGGGTGGGGGGGGTGTTAATAACGTCCCTCTGGTAGAGTTCCTCTCGCTTGCACAGGGTTCTGCTAAACGTAAGCGTTCGAGCTTTGGCCGCAGGTACTTCCATTCAAAAACATTAAGTTTTCCCCCGACTCTGTGCGACAATGCATGCATTCATTCACTCATTCATTCATTCATTCATTCAATTCAATTCAATTCCGTTCAGTTCAGTTCAGTTCAGTTTAGTTCACTTCATTTCATTTCATTCATTTGTTCATTCATTCATTTTTCACATATTCCTTCAGTCCCTCATTCATCCACTCACTCACTCACTCACTCATTCATTCATTGATTCAGCCGAGCAAGCGGCGTGCACAGCCGAGGAGCGCGTGCACAACCGAGTCAATCTATGCGCGTGTACAGGCGAGGAAAATTCCACGTGCACACCCGAGGCTCCGCCCATGCAAGGTGTTTGTTATGTCTAGTGACGGACTATATTCAGAACTTAGAACCTATTGTGGAAAATGTTGCGTAGTTTCTGTTGCTGGGAAATAGTTTCAAAGCGCCACTCTTAAACCTAAACCAATGCCAATGACCTTTATAGAATCATGATCCTTGAAACCACGTAGAACCCTGGGAGCACATGATTAGCGAGCAAAGAGATGAGCGGAAGTCTTTGGCAGGAGGAACAAGAAACTTGGCACAGCGGCACAACAACAGCTTATAATTTGGTGCGCTCACGCGTTCTCAGTGTAGGCTTCTACCAAAGCCCGATGAGAAGAGGTGACGCCTGCCTCTAGTTTTCAAGTGTCTTAAAGTGACACGATTGCAATTCTGACTGCACACTTCAAGCCTTGTTAAAGCCAAAGCTAGGCGAAATCAGTTAAGTAGAACTAGTTTGTTGCCCGCAAATTTCAAGCAAAGGCCCCTCAAGTCAAGGGACAATGTGACCTTTAAAGTACAGAGACAGGTCAGGTCTGACAGTTCTAACTCAACAAGCTCCAGCATGAGGTGAGTAGAACCTGCAGAATCAGCATGGTCCCACTGTGTTCTAAGTGTAGCTTACCCCGAAAACTAAGAGAAGAGTGTCTTCTGTTCACACTCATCCAGGTCTGACAGTTAGGATGTTATAAGTCAGAAGTTAATTATAAGTTATGCACAATGAACAAACCTGAGCAACCTTCTTAGATATGAACTGAATACAACTGGTAGAAGCGGTAACCCCCAAGGCCAAGAGAAGAATCTGCTTCTAGTGTACTCACAAAAATGGCTTCCAGGTTGTAACTGAACAGGTCCTTGCAACCTTCTCAATCAAAAAGCTGAGCAACATGAAGTGAGTGGGACTGGTAGAAGCAGTGTGGTGCTAGCATGTTCTAAGTCTACTCCTCCAAGCAAGAGAAGAATCTGCCTGTAGCGTGCACGCAATAAGGTTCAGCAAGTCTCACTGAACTGAACTAGTGAAAGAAATTGCTGAGCTACATGAACTGAGCAGAACCAGTACGTAGCACCAGTTGGTGCCCACTATATAGTCTGATTGGTGGAGTCCCCCAAGGTTCTATATAAGTGTGGTTGACTGCTCTAAGTGCTAGTTTTTCTTGTGGTGCTATGTTCAAAGTGCGGGTATGCTCAATGTTATGTGTATATATATATACATGTTCCTAGGTGTTGGAAAAGGTTCTAAGGTATGTCTGTAAGCGTGTGTGTAATATCCAAAGAAAGAAGCCACAGGATAGCGAGGTAAGCTTTTTGCTTTCATCCACATTTAAAACAACACATGGAATAACATGGATCAAATTAATATCCTTTCTGGCTCCATTGCAAAGGCTCAAATGTCCTGGGTTTCTGCAAAACTCCATCCCACCTCCATGCACGTAGGCCCTCAGATATGCCATGAACCTCAGCAAGGAATGCAAGGAATCTAATTCAGCCTCACTCAGAATGACGCAAACTAGGCAATCGTGGTCCCTTTATTGCAAAATAGGCACTCGTCAGTACCTGCGATAATCTTCATGGTTGTAGACTCACCGCCTGGAATGACCAACCTGGGCCGGCAACATTGTTCACGTCTGCCGTCTGCTATGAGTCTGCTACGATCATTACAATCTGCAAAGCGGTTTCCAATCCCCTTTAAGACCATCTGTGTCGCTCCAGCTGCCGCAACACAAAAATGATGTACTAGGCTCTCGCACGCATCACAAGAGTCCAGTTCCTGAATCTTGCGCACCTGGTTGTGAAAAAGCAAAGCAATGCAAGGAAAGCTGTTGTTTTGGTCTGGTTGCCTGTATCACGCGGAAGCATTCCATAAGGTGCTGGGGAAGCTTTTTGAACATGGCCTGACAGTCTGACAGTGGTTGTTGCGCATTTATTCGTCAATGCCAAATCAAGGCCAATAGCAAAATGAATAGCTGCAACAAGATGAACCAGAACAAGAAGCGACAACATCGGTGCCGCAAGAAAAACCTCCACCGAACAAGCAACAAGACCAAGAATGAGAACATGAGAGGAGAAAGTAAAATCCTCAAACCACGCAAATGGCTGAAAAGGCTGTCTATCAAAGAGAAGTGTGCACAACATTGCACGACGCACAATACTTCAAAGGCAAACAGCCATGGCTAATGTATGCTAATGTCATGTCGTGGATCAGTCAATCCGTCACACTGTCCATCGTGTCGTGCTCATGTCCTCATGCTCTTCGAACGCTCCCTGAAGTGCCAGGACTCCAATGGTCCGCCTGAGAAGTTTGTTGCCGACACGCAAAGATCGATCTGAGACGGGCCTTTCGTGTTCCAAACGGACACAGCCAAGTCTCCCACACACTAGGAGGTGACTTCAGTTGTGTCATGGCAGCAAAAGTATTCAACACAGCTATTCTTGTCCTTCTGTTGCCAGAGCTGTTTGTCGCTGTGCTAACACTCTCGGTCTCTCGGTCGACTTTAGTCAACGTTAAAGTCAAGGTCCAGGGCTGACCGTGAAAGATTGCATGCAACTGTGGTTGTTGGAAGTTATGATTTAAACCTGTCGTAACGGAAAGGGTGGGAAGGCCACCTGCTCCAATGAGGCAAAGTGTGCTTGCTTGAGCAAAACTTCCCAAGCAAAGGGCTGCAAGCTTTGTGGACGGGAGACAAGATATGAATTTCAAGGCACTCATGGTAACAGGCTGTCATCTGATAAAACCGAATGCGAAGAGAAAGCGAAGACCTAGTCAGTACTCACTACTCTTTCCACATCTGAAAACGAAGTGGCAAACAAGTCAGTGGCACGTGCTATTCATGTTGGTCTGCGACGTGGCTCGGATTTTGGAGCCAAAGTCCAAAAGGGCCATACCTTGGACGTTTTCGTAGACGCCACGGTCTGCAAACAATTCTGAGGCGTCGGAGGTGAATCCACAAAGCGTCACGACAAACGCTGTAAACACCAATATCTCAGGCAGCAACACTCGTCATGACTGCCGACAGGAGCCCTGGCAGAAGTGCACCGTCGATACGCTGTGTTCTTGCAACCATGCCGGAAGTGCTCTGTCAAATGCGGGACATACACGCCAAGCCTTAGGTTCAAGAAAACGGCACCAATCGACATATGAGTGTCGGACAATATTGCTTATTGCCCGCAAAGGACGTTTATAATTTGGGTGGGCCCCTATCGGTTTTCAGGTTTCGGCATCTCTTTACATGTATTTTGGTGGTACCCTATCGGTCTCAGGTTTTCCTATACATCTATAGTCTATATACAACTCTTTATATAGTCGGTTTTGGGTAGGCCATCACCCATGTTAGAGGGTATCGGTTTTGGGTGGGCCCCTATCGGTTTTGCAATCAAATCCTTTTTTCAAAAGGATGTCCAGCCGAAGACTACTGCTGACTTACAGTAATTCTGTCGAGTACTCATATGAGTACTCGATCCACCCTTTATGGAGACAATGCAAAAAGCACAAGGATATCCAGAGGCAAAGTAGACATTCTCAAGCAAAATGTTGAATTCCTGCTGCACCCACGACGTAAGGGCAAGGCTGCGGATGTTGGTGCACGTAGAGTGGTTTCCTGCCCTTCATCTGGGGGTTCAACAAGTCCTTTCAGACAAGCGAAACGTGCATGTTGCCAGGCTGATGGAACAATATCAAGGGCTCCCATCAACAAGGGATCAAACCCCAATAGTTGGCCGCTATGCTCAAGGACAAGAACAACAACTTGATCAACCTTGTGAATAATTATGATTTATTGCGTGCACTCATTGTGCTTTATCCATACCACGGTTCCTAACAGTCAAAACAAGCATTATTCGTCCCTTTTAAGTACATGGCTTTTTGCTTTGACAGCGACAAATTGCATCTTGGTATTTGTGTGTACATAATTATATAAACGTTTATACTATTTTATACTAGCAAAATCTCTTAATAACATATACTGACTGGACATGAGAGTAGTGAAACACTCAGGCAGGGTCCGGCTTTCCTAGCTCATGTGTCCCTGGAATAGTCGTTCCCGGCCAACACTTCAGTTTTAAGGAAAACCATCTCATCTGCTCAAGTGCTCTGCTCCCAGTGGAAAATCAGAACAGGCACTGCAAGAATATGTAAGAATCATTTGAGCTGTGCTCAAGAAGTCTTGCATCTGCCTACGTCATACCATGTAATTTGGGCTGCAGCTTAGGCCTAAGCCAGCACAGCGGGAGCTTATGCGGATGCATTTCTTGGTTCAGCTTACGCGAACCACACTTTCACTTAGGAAAGCACTGCTGTGACAAGCCCCTTACTGAACGTGAATAATTAGGGAATGTTGAGCGTAGCTCAGTTCCCCTTTCCATGCTGTGAGAAGCAGTAAACCTGCTGGATGCTTGCGCACTTGGCTGCCAACACTTAAACTCCACTGTGGAGTGCTCAGTGAGGATATTGATTGATATTTTGGACAACCTTCGCAATGATTCTGCGTGGATTGTGTGGATAATATTCATTTGAATCAGCTCATTGATGCCAAGGCCCCATGTTCTAGATCTACTGCCTCACCATCCGACAACATGCACTTGCTATCCTCTTCCTCCGTTGTTTGCATGTAATCTGTGACAAACGGATCATCCGGAGCTCTAAGCAAATGGGCTGCACTTATAGGTTTGATTCTGTAACAGGACAAACATTCATTGAATCATGTAAAATAATGTAAAATACTCTGTTCTGCATGCTAGAAGTTGTGTTCTGTGTCTTGTTGAACGGGGTAACATTCTGAAACACATCATGGATGGGAGCGGTGCTTGTCCTATTGATTCTCAACCTGTAGTGGTCTGAGAACTCCTCAATATGAACCAACAGCTCGTTGAGCGAACTGTGATGTCCAACCATCAAGTCAAATTGTATCGACTTCATGGTAAATAAAGGCAAACAAAACACAAGGGCATGACTAACAAACATAAATTGCAATTTATAAATTTAGCTCAGCTCCCTTTTCTTCCAACCAATCCTCACGCGTCCTGATTGTCGACTGTTTCTACGGGAATCCATATTGGAGCTACTGAGTTTCTGAATTCAATGGCCGGTTCTATGCTAAATTGGATTATGGAACATCTTTTGTGGACCATTCAGAGATCGGTCGGTAGTTGGAAGAATTTATAAAAGGGGACCACCCAAGCACTCAGCACTGTGCATGTGTGGGGAATCTGGTTGTTCTCTCTGATTGGGCGTTGGAACGCGCAAAACCGGCACGAAAACCCCAAGGACCCGGAGCCACCTGTCGTTTTACAGGGTTATTGTTTTGGGCCAAAAGTTTCGGGGGTTCAGGAACGTTTGGGGAGGCCAGGGCTGGAGATAATAACGTTCGCTTACCTTGCTTCGTCGGTAGGTAGATTTACACGTTTGCATCACTGGTCGGCGGTGTCTCATGAGATTTTGTCTGGAGCCTCCAAATTAGAGAGGTAATGGCGGTGAAGGAGAGTTCAGTTTTATGGTTGCCCTGAGCACAGGTGCCGTCGCCGGAGGGTTTGTTTGAGTGCTGGTTCCCCGTATACACATTCTATTTACTGTATATACTGTAGATTTTGTTGGTACAAGTGCACAGCATTCCTTGGGACGAAGTCGTAGATTGAAACTCGGTGTGGCGACAACTCTGCCAAAAGCGACGTGTCGCGTGGAAAGCAACAGCTTCGAAGGGTGAACCGACTGGAACGTTCATCGCCTGGAACCCGCACGTGGACTTGTCAGTTACATTGAAGATTGCTTTCCCAGCCAAGACTAGAAGACGTTCTTCCAGCAGTGTTGTTACAAAGAAAATCAAAGGAGCCCAGCACAAGCAGGCGTTTGCACCGGAAGACCAGGACTTCTTGTTCTGAGAGTGAAAAAGTATCCGCCAAACACGTCTTATGCATTTTCTTGCATAATTAATAAGTCCAAAAGCACGTGAAACCAATGGGCCGCGCAGTGTCTGATTCCTCCGGACGCATCTCGACAGGCACCGACCGCTCTTGGTCCATCAACGTTGATAAGTCTCTCCATTATCGACCCGTCATGTACCGTCTTCGACGATCATCGAAAGCCCCAGGAAGCACAGTTGCTGTTCTGTCTATGTTTTGAACATTTTTGAACCATCCAGATTTGAGATCTTTACGATGTTGATTCGTCGTCCACAATCCTCCTTTGAAGTGCCCCTACCTCTTTCATCTACCGATTGTGCCAGGCTTCGTTAGGCTTTGTTCGCTTTTCAAGCGTTCCTGTTTACATCCTCTTTTGTGCTACTATATATATATATACATACTGTAGGTCCAGCTTTTGAGTGTGGTTTGCGAGGCGTTTCTATTGTACGTGTAGTGTAATACACTGTGTGTATGCGAGCGTATATATCATATAGACACACGCATATATTTCTAGCTACAAGCTCTTTGAAACATGCTGGAGTTGTACTGTAGCTGTTGTCCTTGAGCTGCTCGTTGTAGATTTCAAGGAATGATGCAGAGACTCGCAGTTCTTCGTACTCCTGTGGGCATCTGGTGCAGCGAGCCACAGTGCATTCAGGGCAAAACATATGGGATCTCACTATCATGTATATACGGTATGTATTTTTTTTGTTTATGCGTAACACATCACCTTGTGTATCCTTTTCCAAGCACATTTGAGCATAATGATATGGGATTAGTTCTCCTTGTTCTTTCGTTTCCTTACTGGGTGACCAGCCCTTTTGTGTGTCTTCCTCATAGACTTTTCAGAAACGTGTCTCAAGTCCTGCGTGAACAAATTCTGACACCTGAGCTGTACGAATGGAGGCCTTCATGGCTCTACTCCATATCGCTGTAAGATGCCAACAATCTTGGAATGAGACCAGGGTCTCTCTCATGCCTCAGAGCAAGGATGCTACTAGGAGCAAAGGGCATCGCTACTAGGAGCGAGGACGCTACTAGGGGCTCCTGGCCTTACTAATCTTACTACTGGGAGCAAGGATGCTACTAGGACAAGCCACAGGTTGTCAGGTTGTCTCCAAATTCCGAATCATAGTTGTTTTCATCCCGCCAGGGCTGGGCTTGAGGGCTCCGAAGATCTGGGAGCCGAACCCTAAAACAGTGTAGGTTTTGCCACTTCCAGTCTGGCCATAGGCGAACAAACAAGAGTTGTAGCCTTAGCTGATCTGGACACTTGTCTTGACCCAAGGCCGATCGAGAAAGGCCTTCTAGCGCATTGGAGAGGAGATTTTGTCCAATCGCCTTGCAGAAAGCCAATACCAAGATGGATCTAGTGCCATTTCATCTCTGCAAGCAATCAAGATCAATCAAGTACCGCTATGTCGCATCTATAAAGTCTATTGTCTATTATTGATGTGTTCGAGTCGACGGGAATGTCGGTGTTTCTTCTGGTTCTCACTGACTCACGCAAGCTGCCAAAAAAAAGCTACACCGGGTGAAAATAAGATGGCACAACTAGGATGCCCCCAAAATGGGTAGATGGCACGGAACATGTGCAATGAACAGTGCGTGCAACAAATATTTAAAAACACGCACTCCTCCAAGAGCAATTCCAGGCAAACATGAGGGGTAGATGGCGCAACTAGTGCGAGCATCCCGTGTGGTTAGCCAAGTGTAAGGGAGTGCAAATTGGAGAGGTTGATGGCACAACTCAGTGGCCAACCCATAGGAGCCAAATCAATGGTGCCAAGTACTAGTACCAATTGCGCCAACTACCCCTGACGCCCTGCACCCCGTGGTGTGCGCTCATTTCTTCCCCGCATCCCTTGATCTTGCATGCAGATTGGTCGTTCAATAAATTCACTGTACCGTGGATTGTGTGGTATACAGAGTCAAAGATCATTTTAGTCTTTCTGGAAGGACTCAAATTGTGGATGGATCCAACACAAACAATGGAACCACAATAAGCGCCCAAAGAACGACAACACAATCTGCCGGCCCTTGGGCGCAGCGTGTTTTAGGTGATTGGTTTGTATGCTATCCTAGTAGTAGTTTTGTTTTTAGTCTAATTGTACCCACGGCGCGGATTTTTGACAAGTCTAACTTCCCC